CCACTATTTACAAGACTAGATTATATAGAGGCTAATATTCCTCTTGATAGCTAGCTCACAGTCTTGATGAGGAGGATATGAATTAGGGTTTCAAGATGGCCTGTGGGGGGGTAGAGGCTGCTATATATAAGGTAGCATCAATTCTAGACCCTCGGAATCAAATTGACTTAAAAGAGCAGGCGTGAGATGCAAACCCCTAAGCGTTAGGAGAACCAACATAGGAAGATGAGGCTGACTAGTGGGCCCTTAGTGTTATGCGAGAGCTGTGGTCTCCCAAATGGATTCATCCCGCCAGCATTTTCATTAACGAACCTTATGTTCCTCAACTCGTCGCCAAACATCGTGAACTTAGCGTTGAAACGCCCTTTACTTTGCCATCCGTCAAGGTGTCGTGGCTAGTAATCTTTCATGCGCTCATCGAGATGCATGCGGGACATCACTTGGTATCCTTAGGGTTCCCAGGATATAGCCCGGAGCGATGGATCACGGTAGGTACCACATCGATGTGGGCTGCATTCTTTTCCTCATGTAACCTCTTCTTCTTCAAATCCTTAGGAGACCAGGATCGCCTTCTTCCACGGTACTCTTCTTGGCTGTCACGTTTTCTTCTTTGGCTATCTCTCTCATCCTCTCGCATCCACACTATAACCGGCATTCCTCTTGTACCAATTCGCGCTTACGGTCTGAGACATATTCTGCAGTTTTCATTTGCCCGAGTATAGATGACGGTTAGAGGCGCGTGATGGAACTTTATGCTTCATCGCCATGCTGGCCGATCGGCTTCTTGGCCCGGTAGGTATTGGCGAGGCACCATATTACCCTCTGGGTATGTGTCAGCAGGATACGTAATAGGTCATGAAGCTAGTGTCCGGACCATGTACATGGTGAGCAGTCGATCTCATCAAATATCTAGAGGTTAAAAAGGCGCCATCCGAAGGCCGGCTAACAGGAGTCCTTATATAGGGATCAATTTTGCCTGCTTCATATCTCTCTAAAATTCTCTAGTCACCCTAAAGACTCCCCAAACGGAACATAAATTAAATATGATCAAGATGGTTAGCGATTGACTGAAAAAGGTGCTCAAGGGTCTAGAGGATCCCCTCAAAGTCTACACCACCATCCCCATCATCGCCGCCCCACCCGCCATCATCGTTAGCCATGTCTTAGAGCAGATCATCCATCATGAGTGTAATCATGATCTGCAATAATATCACCAATGGTAGCATTGTTGTGCCCGCCACCATCAACGTGGAGGTTTGTTATACTCGCATTCACCTTGCATTGCCTATTGTCATTGTTGATTTGAAGTTTCCTCCGGATGCGCCAGCACTCGTGATCTCCTCACGCTTCCCGTGAAACTTCTAGGACGGTGTAATCCTTGACTCAAACCATACCGGACAAGTGAGATTTCACCCACGTTATTCTTGTGTGCGATTGAAGGTTCTTACAGCTCTTACATGGCCGTAGACTTCCGGAATTGTGTTCCTTGATCAGACCCTAAACTGATGCCTTTTCATGATGACAATAAACTTTGTCACGTATATGCTTTTAAGAAATGCAGAAGGATCTAACCTCAATGTCTTGTACATCATTCCCTATACATGAGCCGTGAAACCTTGCACATAATAAACAACAAAAATGGCATATATAAAGGAGGCGGTATGGAAAAAAAAGCAGGGTAGCTCTAGATCTGATTTTCTCTCCTCCAAATAGATCTAGATCTAGATCTTGAGAAAAGCACCCAAATCATTGAGAGGTTTGAGGTTTGAGAGCTTGAGAATCAACCTGTGGTGCCCTTCACTAAATCTAAGGGCAAAACCTCTCCCCTAGTGAAATGGCCATTTTGAGGGTTTTTGAGGTCAAACCCAAAAAATGGAGGAGAAATATGGGAAGAAGGGTGTGTCTTGGTTGCATTTATATAGCTCCAGATTTAACCGAGATGGGCACTATAAGGAAATCGCTGAATTTAATCACCTGTTAAATGGAGACAGGCGGTTACGATGAAATCAAGCGCCTGGGTTCAAAGGATTAACCCGAGGTGGTTACCTAAGTCAACACGCCTTTATTGTTGCTTTATAACATCGCCCCAATTATTGTGCATTAGAAGGGCAACCTCGGTTAATCCAAGATAAATCGTGGGCGGTTTATTAACCAAGGCAACCAAGGCCAATCGGCCTCGAGAGCCCATTTGTGAAACATACATTTAAAAAGATTTTGTGTAGTAGTGAGGATGGCCTTCTGTGAGGGAGGGGTAGGGCTACTATATATAGGGGGTGCATCAATTGCGGACTCTCAGATCAAACCGACTTAAAAGGAACGGCAGAGATCCAAACTCCTAAGGTGGTGGAGAACCAACGTTGGAAGATGATTGTGGTAGGTGGGCCCTTATAGTTGGCCGACTGGTGGATGGGCAGTGGCCCCACCTGTCATCCCTCGAGGTATTCTTAGTGGGTTGTCTTCACGGTGTCTTCTAGAGTCTTCCTAAGTTAGTACCATCACGGATAAACATGATTTACTTTTGTGAGATAGGTCCCCTAGATGGTTTTCTTCATTAAATCTCTTTAAAACATGATTCACCAAAACTCATGGAATTTATAGGTTTAAACCCCTAGACCTATGTTTGGTGATGGAATTAATACATATGTAGGTTATATTGATGACTAATAATTGATGTTAATGATGAAATCAACAAGCTCCTCCACACTTAACAACCAACAAGTCACGAGCAAAGCTAAACTCAGCAATGGATCAGAGTTGCTACAATGCTTTCACGCCTCAAAGTACACATGCGTTCAATGAAAAATTCTCCTTGGTTAGAATAAATCAATCCGACTTTCAAACTTACCCATATTGCAACCTTCAACCATGGGGCTTCTTAGCCTTCACTTGGGTCTTGAGCAATTGAAAGACAAAACAATTAAGTCAAGCACTATATCTCAAGTTCTTTGTTTTAACCATTGTTCTAGAGTTTTTATAAATTTTTAAAATAAACTGAGAGATTCCATTGTATGGCACTCTAAAGTCTCTCAATATATGTGGTATTTGTGTATCCTCACCAAGGCAATAATGATGTTATGCCCTTTTCTTTCCTACAACTAAAGCATGTGGAGTTCATAGGTAGGGAAAGCTAGAGCATACTTGCAATGCATATATTGTAAAAGTCAAACATTGGATCCAAAGAGAGTTGAGTGATACAATCAAATCAAGATGTGTGTGTGTGTGGATATATATGGTGGCTATCCTAATTCTACTATGCTCCTTGAAAACATATCTCTCTTGAAACTTAGAAATATTTTTGCAAGAGAACATGGGCTATCTTATTCACCTCTTTCTCTTTTTCCTTCATTTTTTCAGTGGGCATCTAAGTACCCCATTGTTTTCAATATCTTGGAGACTTTTGTGTCCATTTTTCTACAATTTTTTACTCTTTTTCTTTTTTTATGAATAACTTTTACATAGCCCATGCCTCTTCTCTACAACAAAACTTTTGAGAGATTTAGAGCATTTATTTGTATGGAATCCTAACAAGCATGTTTTTGTTTTCTTCTAGTGTAGGAGAAAAACATTATTGGGTGGATCTAAATGGAATGGCATGTTTTTAGCGCCTACCCTAGTGTAGGAGTAGTGGATATGCGATTGGTGTGTGCGTGATCTTAATTTTAAAAGCATGACAAACCTCTCATAAGGGTCAACAAAGCTTGACAAAACTCAATGCAAAAGCGGTGAGATATATGTAGAAGTTTTCCTAGCCTAAATAACAAGTATGGCTACTGTGGGAATTCAAACTTTGTCATAGAGGAACTCATCATAGCATTTTGTAGAATTTTAGTGTCACTTGGAACAAGATAAACAATAGCTCAGTGTACCTTCTCATATCATATCGATACGATTACCCGGACTTAGATTAAGCATATACTACCTACGAGTTTCAAGTTTAACGTAAATCCTTATATCAAAACAATTTTATCCAAAACTTGGGAGAATTCAAATTGGAAACTAGGTACTTGAAACGAATTACAACAGAGCAACTATTCATCATTTTCTATTTTAAGAGATTATCTTTAGAGTCTTTTTAATTTTATTCGACTCTTAAAAAAATGAATTAAAGCAAACTAGACACACTCTTTATTTTATTTTCATTTTTTTATAAAGCAAACTAAATAAAACAAAAGAATAGAAATACTTTAGCTGGATACACTGGGGTGCCTCCCCAAATTTAGTTGATGGTAAACCTTGTCGAGGACCGAAGTACAAGGCTAGTAGGCCCAAGATAGGTCAACCTACCTTTCTGTTGGTTCTTTCATTGTTTTGTCGATCACGTGCATTGTTTGGGAGGGTTGCCTCCCCCACACTTGAGTTCTGTTATCTTGCATAGACAACATGTGGAGACAAACACCAACAAAAGACTAGAGAGATCTTGGCGATACTTTATTCAAATGTATACATAGCTTAGCGAGTGTAAACATGTTTTTAAAAGGTTTTTCACAGGAGTAAAGAAGAAGAGCTG